CAAAATTTTCAACCAATACGTCGGGTGCGGACGCATGGATTCTCTCGTCCTGAAAAAAATAAGTAAAAGATAATTAAAAATCATGTATTGGTGTATAAAAAAATAATAACAGAATATATGTCAAATAATTAATAAAGTAAAAAACATGATGTCTACCTTGACATCATGAAAGACAAATTCTAAACTTGAATCTCTTTTCTTGGGATAAAACCTTATTAATCTCAGAATAGCAGTTTTGGTTTTGTTTTTGGCAAGATAAGTTAGATTATCAAAGTAGGAGGACATTTTTTATATGAATTTTCTGTGGCTGAAAAACTGAAATGAGAGATAGTTGTTTGGGAAATGGAGTGATTAGAAATTGAAAAATGTTTTAGTATTTATAGGTTCTAAAAACGTGTGTGTATCCATGATTTCAGCTCCATAATTATTATGATAGTCAATTTTATTTATTTACATTATATTATGATTAATTTGGTTATAAATATTATTAAATTGCATGAGTAAAAAACGTTTTGTATCTCCATAATTTATGTGAAAAATAATTCTGCCTTGGTCAAATTTATTTAATTAGATCAAATTAATAATTAATGAGAATCTGACTTTTATTATATTTGTATATTGTTTGATATTTTATTTTTTTAATTTTTCCACATGATATCATTAATGTTTTTTTCTTTTTCTGTATTGCAGGAGGATGTAAACAATTATGGAGCTGGAAATTGCATTTTTATATTTATTTACTGTATTTTCAATCACGAAATAATGTGTAATTTATTTTTTTTGTATTTTAATTAATTAATGTAATTCATTTATATTTTGGTCAAAAATTATGCTTAAATTGTCATGATTGCGCCCACTAAAACTGCCCACTAAAACTAAATTGACTGTCAACAGATATCAGATCAGATCTCAGAATATATATCATTTGAATATGTAAAGCAATTAAAAGGACTGATTAAAAATGTAAAGTTAATTAATGTAGGATCAATATAAAAGTGTAACCGATAAAAATTTTATTAAGTATAATTTATTAGGTAAAATTTATTAGGTAAAATTAAATAGGTTTTATTTATGAGGTTTTATTTAATGATTAGCTAGCAATTATATAGACTAGTCATCATCCTGTGCACATGCACAGATGTACATAAAATATTATAAGTAATATGTGTGAATTTAATATTTATTATAGATAATAAACATATCACATTTTCAAGATATGTGAATTTAATATTAAAATTTTAGATAATGGACATATCACATTTTCAATATTTAGTCATTAGTAAAAATAAAATAATATTGATATAAATTATTTGAGTACATATGAATCACTATATTGATTAAAAAAATTTGTGGATAATGTAATTTTTATAATTTGGAGGGATCATGGTCAAATAATTTACTTGAAAACTTTATTATTATTATTATTATTATTATTATTATTATTATTATTATTATTATTATTATTATTATTATTATTATTATTACAACTACAATTGTTTATAAGATTTTAAAGTTTTTTTACTATACTATTAAAACTATTTACTAATTGTTTCTAAAGAAAATTATTTCATAAAATACAGAATTAAAATAATAATAATAATAATTATAATAATATCATTTATAAAACCTAATTAAGTATAACATGTATTTATAAAACCACATTTATTTTTCCTCCAAAAGAAGTTACAAAATTTGTCATTCATATTTTGCCTTTCTCATTAATACACTCTAAAGTGTAATCATGTATTTTTTTGCTATTATATTATATAATAGTTAATGCTATTACCAACGC